TACCAGTAGGGTAGCTCATTGGAGCTCAGAGAGCTCACACAGCTTAGTAATAAGGCCCTTGTTTAGCAAGAGACTGTAGATTCCTCAGCAGCCTACCATACACACCTCAAACAAAATGTTTATCAACTGAAGATTTCACAGGAAAGCAAGAGAAATTCTCAAACATGTTTGCTAGCCAAAAATTTAATTCATGTCATGTCTTCACATATAAAATGAATCACTAATAAGCACTTAACGTTTATTGGTCTGATAGGTTTGATGCCTTTAAATGGCGGGAGAGGGTTTATCATATCTAGAAACTGGACATGATAAATGGAAGTCAGACATTACTACAAAACATTCTGAAGCAGAGTATATCACAAGAAGTACAGACTGGTGGAAATGTAAGTATTTCTGGACACAATCACCTCCAAACCTCTCCATGGAATTCAGATGGAACAGGGGCTAGAGAGATACCTCAGTGGTTAAGAGCACTAACTGCTCTTGCAAAGGACCCAGGTTTGATTCCCAACATGAACATGTTGTCCTTAAATCCAGTTCCAGGGAATCCAATGCCCTCTTCTGGCCTCTGCAAGTATTGCATGACATGGGTGCACTTACATACATGCAGGCAATGCACTCATACACATAAAATAAAAATAAAATATTTTTAATTTTTTAAAGTTAAAAAAATTAGATGGCACAGCAAACTAAAAACCAAGGTTCTATTCCTCTACCCGTTCATTTTCTATTCAATGTTTTGAGTACAGTTATGTAGCAGGCAGTTCTAGGAATGAGGAATAGAATGATGAACAAGACAAGTGAAAATGCCCCCAGATTTGATTCTTTTAGGAAGAGACGATAGCAATCTAGATGATGCTAAGTGCAAAGGGAAAAAAAATAATGGAGGTCCTGGTATAGGAAGTATTTGGAGATGTTTCAAATTTACAGACAGAGTTGCCACTAGGAAGATAATGTTTAAATAAAGACCTGAATGAGCTAGGCCAATAAGTCATGTATCTAACCTGGGGTGCAAAGCAAGAAGAGACCTGTGGACAGAGGAGGTGGCAAGCACAAAGTCCCTGTAGGAACAGCAGCACAACTGTCAGGGACTCCAGTAGGCTGAGCAAGAAAGGAGACAGAACATGACCTCAAATAGCACAGGGCGGACAATTCATCAACAGAGTAAAGGCAGGGCAAGGAGCTCTACTAATTGGAGACTTTTGCAGCAATCTAGGTGAGAGATGGTGGGACCCTGAACAAGGACTGAGGCAGCACTAATAGGCAATATGGTAAAATTCTGGAATATCTGAGTATTGTAGAGGGCGAAAGAGAATTTGCTGATTTGTTGATCAGACAACAGGTGCAGAGAAAGTCAGGAGACAAGGAAGACTCCAGTGTTCTGGCTGAAGTAGCCAAAAGAATGAAATTATGGTTTGAAATGAAGATACCTGTAGGAACAACAGATCTGGATATATTAATTGAGACTCCTAATAGCCCTCAAATTACTTGACTCCAATCAAATAAGGAAGGAAGTCTAGAGATATAAAATGCATATGTCATAAGCATATTGATGAAATAGCTTCAGACGTCAAGCACAAGTTCCCCTCCGAGCTTTAGCAACGATGTGCTGGGTACCTTGGGTTTGTCAGTCCACAGCTGCCCACTAGCCAGAGGTGAAAAATAACAGAATTCTAACTTTGGTCAATATTTCTCAATAACTACTATGTTCAGAGCAGTTATTTTATTTTAAAGTACTATGATAGACCTGTGTGAAAATGTCATAATGAACCCCATTAACCTGTACATTAACAAAAAAATCAAAAAAATAGTTATTTTAAGGCAGTCATTTCTCCACTAATCATATATTTTGAGCACCTTTTGTGACCCAGGCACTGCAAAGCTCTGAGAACACCATAGTGAGCAGATAAATTTGGAGGTCCCTGGCTTTGAATGAATCCATGTAATGAGGGAAGCCAAGTAAAAACAATGTCAGAAAAGCAATTAATAGTAATTGTGGCAAGCCCTCAATAGGAGAAGTTATCCAGTGTAGACATTTTATATTTTTTCTCCCTGGACAGTTTCCCAATACTTTTCTAGTACCTCCAGGATTATGTGACCAAATGATACCTGAGCTCTGCCCAAAACACAGTGTTCAAGGATGATAGAGAATGTATGACCATCTTGGTCTTTAGAATCCTCTATGACCAGGCATGGTAACTTGTGCCTTTAATCCCAATACTGGGGAAACTGAGATAGGAGGATCATCATGAGTTCAAAGCCAGCCTGGGCTACTGAGTCAGTTCAAGGTCAACGTGGACTACAAAGTGAAACCCTGAATGCCCCCCTCAAAAAAAAAAAACAGAATCCTAAATGGAAATATCATACCCATCTCATTCAACACTGAGTTGCCTATACAGTGAACCACCATCTCTCTAGTGTAGTTAACATTTGGCTGAAACAAAAGACAGAAAATCATCTCAGTGATGTACTCCATGATAACTATTCACACAGAATTTCATTTTAAAAAAAGAATAATAAAAGGAGACCTTTGAGGTACTTCTGACTACCCAGTACACACACAGGAAAGAAATTTTAGCCCATAAAATGCATGTGGTGCTATAGACGATGCAGTCTTGTAAGATCTCACTTGGCAGACTAGGAAAGTGAGGCTCAGGAATGCTACAAAATGTGCTGAGTATTAAAGTAGTGCATGACAAAGCCTACACTGGACTAAAAACCTCTCAACATTTAAGAGCATGCGCCTCACTCCATCCACTCTGTCCACGAGAAAGAAGGGAAAGAGCAAATAGAACAGGCTAGCAAAAGCTTTTGATCTGGACATCTTTAGGGTCTTTAAGAGGACACTCTATGGATTAAAGGCGTACTCTGGGGTGGGTTTTACTATTCAAGTTATAGGTGCTGGGAAGACGGCTTAAGAGACAATTGCCATATCATGACCCAAAGTCCCAAATAGCAAAGAATAACAAGCTTCCAGAGAGAGCATTAGAGATAGGTTAGAAATATGCTACCAAAACCTTTAAAATAAAATATTCCAAAATTAGGTTTCTTATCTTAATACTACTGTGGGGCCAGGAAAAAATAAAATATAACCTTTTTTCTCCTCTGATCATGGTTTGACTTAATGGAAAATAAGAATTCTTTGTGGATTCTACTAAACATTTTTAAAGCAAGAGTGCCTGCAAAGACAAGCTACCTAGAAATTCTCCACCACAACCAAACTAACTTATCAAACTTCTGTATTAAAAGCACTAAATTTGGGGCTGGAGAGATGGCTCAGCAGTTAAGAACACTGAATGTTCTTGCAGAAGACCTGGGTTCGAATCCCAGCACCCACATGGCAGCTAACAACTGCCCATAACTCCAGTCCCAGGGGATCTGACAGCCTCTTCTGACCTCCGCAGACATTGCATGACATGGGTGCGCTTACCTACATGCAGGCAATATACACATACACATAAAATAAAAATAAATAAAATTTTTTTAAGTTTAAAAAGTACTAAATGGTTAAAGATATTCAATTGTACTGAAAACTGTAGAAAAAAGAATAAAAGTACATGGTATAATTCTGATGCTCTGACTTTCAAAATTCAATCAGTTTGATGAAGAATTTATTATAAATGCTACAACGTATAAAACTTCTAAGATATGTCTTGCAAAATAGAAGCTCCCCCTTTGACTGTCAAAGGAATCTTCACTATTGAGAGTTTTCTTCTTTATATTACAGATCATCTGTAGCTACTGATCACAAATGGTAAAAAATAGTAAGTTCTTCCTGACTTCAGAACTGCCTGTCTAGAATGGAGGAAGAGATGCAGGGTTTTCTTCCATCTTCCACCACAGAGAAGACTGTCACCTTTGTTGCTTTGTTTTTCTTAAACTCAAGCCTAGGTTAATGACTGGTGTGCCTCCTCAGGCTGTAAGATACTATGTAATTCCCCTCAAACTTTCCCATAAACAAAGACTTAAGTGTATGTCTCCTTTGCTCACTGATGCACTCTTAGCAATTAGTGAGCATAATACTCATTCAAAAAGCACTGGATGGTTTTAACTGATTAGAGCTACAGACTATAAAAGATATATCTCAGTATTATTTTGTTTGTTAGATAAAATGCATTGGTATCTGTACGTAATAATGACAATGAGAGAACAGTACTGCATTATAGAAAAGTCTTAGCTAATTGTTACATGCTAAAGAAGATTTAGTCTGGAAAGTAAAACTGATTCTATATGAAAGAAAACCTGTAATATGATATAGTTCATGAAACCTTGGATACTTGAATAGCACTAACCAATTTACAAAGCATTTCCATATATTTATGTGTGTTTAAAAATATACGTGATACAATTACACATATATTGTGTAATAATATATCTGTATATGTTTTATATAGTATATTATATGTAGTTGGCATTATTATCTACTCTATGAAAAAACAGCATCATGCAGTTAACAAGGGACAGAGCATAGAAGTAAACTGAGAAGTCTAAATTCCAAATTCAGATGAATTTCAGCTGAATATTTAGAAGATAACAGGTTTCTACTTGAAATTATACCAACTTTATCTTACAACCATCATTGTCTTCCCAACACCCCTTCTATCTTAGAACAGGTAATGTAAAGAAAATCACACAAAATACATTGGCATTTGGCGATATACAGAAATATATCTCTTGGTACAATCTCTGAACACTTATGTTTTTATGTCATCCTTATGTTTTACTATTAAATAGCATATGCACTGAGACTGGCTTTTCATTCCTTATAAAAGTCAAACTCCTACAGCACAAACCAATGGAATGGTGCTCCAGCAGTGAAGCAGGAGGTACCCTACATCCACATCAATGTAAAAGGACACAAGGAAGAGAATCACCCGTCCATAACCCAGCAATATCAGCCACCCATTGCTAAGACTAGAGAGGGCAGCTCCTACAGGCTCACCCGCTTGGCCTACACTACTTCCCCAGGCCAGCACTGCATTCAACCAGCCATGCCTCACCTTGCCGTCTCCTTCCACTCCATTTCCTGCCCATCCACGGCCAGCAACTCATCCAGTTCAGTGAAGAGCTGAGGAGGTGCTGGGCTGTCATCTTCTTCTCCCAAGATGAATCGGATGCGTTCTGCGGCAGGAGAGACTGCAGAAGTGAAAATACTATGGTTAAACACTGGCTGGACAACCCTGAGGAAAGTGTAGCTTCGGGCTCTTCCTTTCTCCCCTTGGTTATTGGGCTTTCCTTCCACATTTTCAGTGGCCATCTTGCTAAGCCTCTCTTATCTTCAACCTAAAGCCAAAGAGAAATCAAAGCCTCTCTCTATTCCTTTGATCGAAACTCTATCTCAGTTCTCTACCCTTTCCAGAAGAAAAGCAGTCTACTTTTGTGTGGTTTGTGAGGAAGAACCTTGAGCTCTCAAATGAGCTGAGGTCCAACCTCATGACTTCCCCTCCTCCTCACTTATGACCTATCCAAAACTATGAGATAGAAATGAGCTTGAACCAATCACTTCTTCATGTAGCAGAGGGAGGGGCAACAGAGCATCCCAATCCTGAGATTCTTCAGGCCCCCAATTGCCCTCCCTCTGTCCAATGTCTAAGCCCATGTCCTGACTGGGTAACTGTAGCGCTGACGAAGGAATATTTAACAAGACTGGAGTTCTTCTTCACATAATGGCAGTACCCAAAAATATTTAGTCACACTTCAATGCACTTGAAAAACAAGCCCAAGTAAAATATTGTACACCTGAGGGAGGGGGGGGAGAACATTTTCCAACACACTTAAGCACATAATTGAATGCCCTACTAGCGCCTTTTGACCCTGTCTCCTGAAATCATGGAATGAAAAATTAACTAGAATTTCCCCCAGATTTTGAGTTATTCTTTCTTTAAAGAGAAAGGAAAGAAAGAAAGAAAGAAAGAAAGAAAGAAAGAAAGAAAGAAAGAAAGAAAGAAAGAAAGGAGGAGCACTTGGAAATTGATGGTCCCGTTACAAAACTAAGGCTCACACATATTTTTATAATCCCCAGGTAAAGGCAAGAATGGCATGTACATGTGAGGGCAATTCACACATTCATCACGCACAGATGAACAGAAACATAAATTTGTAGAAATATATGTGTCAAACACCCCACTAAAACATACAAATCTTTATCATCTGAAACCTAGAGAAATACAGGACAGAATAAAATTTCATGAATCAAAATTTAGTTACTACAAGTACATTCATCAAAAATATTTGACCTTGTAATAAAAACTAATAATTAAAATAAAATACATCTTTGCCTATTAAAAAGGTAAAGATGAAAAAAAGAATTTCACTGGCCAAGGTGCATGAATTACACAATCTCACCTCCAGGTGGCTTGTTTCTGGAGGATTGTCAATGAAACATCAACATCTATCTAAAGGAAAATTTAGAAGCATATGAAAACACTTTAAGAATGTGTATCATGGGGCTGGAGAGATGACTCAGCAGTTAAGAGCACTGGCTATTCTTGCAGAAGATCCATGTTCAAATCCCAGCACCCACATGGCAGCTGACAACCATCTATTAACTCCAGTTCCAGGGTATCCAACAACCTCTTCTGTCCTCCTCAGGCACTGCACAACACAGGTGCATGTACATGCAGGCATTACCCTCATACACATAAACTAAAAATAAATAAATAAAAAGAATATATATTATAGTCTAGAAATTCTATTAAAAATGCATTTATTCCAAAAAATGTTATTTCAAATATTTTATTATAATGGAAATCATTGGTTGTAGTATTGTTTATAATTGGAAAAATTTTTAGAATTCAAAATATTAAAAAGGGATTGGTTAAATAGAGTATAGTATAAACATGCAACAAAATGCCTTTTAGTCATAACATATGAAGTCAGTGGGGCTGGGGATATAACTCACTGGTAGAGTGCTTGCCTAGCATGCTCAAGGCCTGGATTCAATTCCCCTGAATTGAAAAAAAAGCAAAATAAAGCAAGTCTGAGAGATGGTTTGGTGGGTATGAGGAACTGAGTTTAGATCTTCAAGACCCATGTAAAAAGCCAGGAGTGGCAACACACATCAGCAACCCAGTGCTGGATGCAAAGACTGACAGAGCCTGAGAGAGTGCTGGCCAGCCAGTCTCTCTGAAAAAGAGAGACTCTCTAAACAAGCTCCGGGTTTAGTGAGAGATCCTGTCCCAAAAACTAAGGTAAATAAGAAATTAAGGGAAACATCTTGATGTCACACTCTTTTGCCTCCCATACAGAGGAGCACAACCTCACACACGTGTACACCTCCAAGCACACAAAAATCCCTAATAAAGTGTAAAAGGGCTGGAGAGATGGCTCAATGGTTAAGGGCATTGGCTGCTCTTGCAGAAGACCTGGTTTCACATCCTAGGACTGACATGGCAGCTAACAACAGTCCATAACTCCAGTTCTAGGGGATCTAATGCCCTCTACTGACCTCCACAGGCATGGTCATGACATGGGTGCACTTATATAAATGCAGACAATATACTCATACATATAAAATAAAAGTAACTAAAAATTAAAAAATTAAAGTGGAAAAAAATCAGCCACATTTATAGCATTACCATAGAAACCACAGAAAATAAAACCATGAAGGAAAGATCCAAGTTTGTAACATGTATTACCACATACATGTTATTTTTCTTTAATAAAGAAAAATACATACGTATTAAAGTCTGGAATTTAGGTAGCACTGCTTTGCTTACATCTACATGTGTGTATTTCAGTTAAACTAGTCCCTCAACAATACATTCAAATAGTTAACATGGTATATTAAATATAGTTGCATAAAGTATAAACTTTACTGCTAAATTTTCAATCAATAAATCACTATTGATGCTTCTTTCATCTGTCAGTGATTGGCCACAAAATGCTCCTGGTTCAGTTCATACACAGACAGTAGAGTATGTGGCTGTATTGCCTGTGTGTCTCCTAATGACAAATGCACTTGGCATGGATGATCAAAAATGGGAATTGGCTGACAAAGATGAAAGTACAGCATGGAAACAAAAGATGATGGTGAGAGTCAACTCCCACCAGACAAGTTTCCTTATGTAGCAGATGGTGATTAAACACAGAGACTCACAATTAGCCAATGCACATAGAACAAGAAACTGCAGAACACTTATCCCTGAACAGGATAGCTACTTCAAACCTCTGCCTCCCAAGGCTCAGAGATCATTACAGAAGAGAAGGTGAAAAGACTGTAAGAGCCAGAGAGGTGAATGACCACAAGCTAACAGAGTCTTCCAGACAGCTGGTCAGTTACTCATATGAACTCACAGCAATGGTGACAGCATGACAAGTCCTGTGCAAGCTGAAACCAGACAAAATCCCAGCACAGACATGGAGAAGTGGGTAAGAAAATCCCAACCCAACCTAAGGAACTTTTGGCGATTGATGGCTGCTGGGAGGGGGAAAGACAGTGTCGTACAGAGTTAGGACTCTTGATGGATCCAATGAATAAATCCACACTGAAGAACACTGGGGGACACAAATCATGCTCTATAGGCTGTATTACACACACACACACACACACACACACACACATATATATACACATATATATGACAGCCCATTAAATTGGGCTGGGGGCAGTGGTGATAGATAGCGAGAGGGGAGAGGATCTAAATGCCATCAAACTACATTGTATGAAAATCGCAAAAATTCAATTAAAAATGAAAAAAATAGCTGATGGTATCAGAAGAAAAATCTGAACCAAAGATAAATGAAATCTAGGTCAAAGGAACATTGACAATCCTTCCATTCACAACTTGAAGAACTTTGGATATGCACAGAACTCAGTGAATGCAAGCTCAGCAACATATACAAGGAAAGAGGTTGTGATTTTAAAAAAAAGATGATGATACCTTAAAGGAGTCCATTTCTTGGGGCAAAAAGCACTGGAAGGCAATCCAAACATACCAAGCATGACAATTTGGGCACTGAAACACTTTAAGAATACACATTTGGCTTGCTGCATTTCATATGGGGTACTACAGCAAGAAGGCAAGCATGAGTCAACCATCCCTGACAGCACACTACAAAGAAACAACCAATGTATTCTCAATGTTTCTAATGTTTTAAAGACTATGGAATAAATAAAAATTAGCAGGTTAGCACACAAAGCAAGAAAAAAAATGCTACTTCTGCTTTTGCATAGCATTAAAATAAGGTAATTGAACACATATTTAAAACAGTACAATTGATTTGCTTTATTTCTGTATTTAGAAAAATAGCTTTGAAAGTTTTTAATATCTCAGGAAGAAAAAAAAACTAAAATTCTAGGACTTTTGTATAAAAAAATATTTGGAAATGTCTTTACAATCAAGAAACTGGAAGTGGCATTACTGTGGGGTATACCAAGGGCTTGATAATGAAGATTGTACAGAACTTGGAAGCCAGACAGCACTCCTGAGAAGCAGTCCACATTACTAAAGGTTTAGTCACCTCATTCTCAATTTGACTAACTTTTCAACCAGCCTTCAACATCCAAGATCTCAAAGGCAGAAGTAGTGATGAAAAGGGTGTAAGGTTAGGTCATCAACTTTCTGTACCTTCCTATAGATGTAAGGTAGGCTCGTCACCACTTCTAGCAGAGAAGGAACATTTTGGCAGTGTAAAGGACAGACTCTTCTGCACTGAGAGTCATCCCTGGCTGACACTTGCCCACAGAGCATCACTCTCTAACCTGGCACTCTCCGTGTAGGCAAACACCAATTGCTACCAGAGAGCAATTCTTAATCTCTTAGGAACCATGCCTAACATTATTTATAGATTAATTTATTTGTTAAATACAAATAACATTTGGTGAACAACTAGGATAATAATTCTTTGGGCAAGAAAATGCCAAAATTTTGTGGTATAAAATAAGTGCTTTTCTAGTAAGTTTCCTCAGTTGTTCCCCTGAGATTTCTCAGGAATTAGAAAAAGCCATAGCAACTATATTACAAATAATGATCTATGGGGAGAACATCCTTATAACCAGCAAATAGCCTTCCCAATTGCTGACATCACTCTTAGCAAGGTATCCAGGGTCCTTGGATCCAGAGTTATGTCAGGATTTCACTGCTTCACATAGCCTGTGATCGTCTATGGACAGGAATAAATACAAGCAGCAGCAA